TTTTTTTCTAGTTCCATCCATTTGCCTGCAAATTTCATGCTTTCATTGTTTTTCTCTGCTGAGTAGTACTCCATTGTGTATAACCAACATTTTTAAACCAAATAAAGAATTAGAAGTGTATGGCCTGTGATTAAAGATAGCCGTTTGGGCTGAGTGTGGTGGGCAGCAAGTATATGCCTTTAATCCCAGCTCTGGGAAAGCAGAGGTACATAGATCTGAGTTCAAGGTTAGCCTGGTCTAGGTAGAGTTCCAATATAGCCAGGACTATATAAAGAGACCCTGTCTCAAGAACTTCAAGCCTGGCAGTGTTAGTGAACACCTTTAATCCCATCACTCAGGATGCAGAGGCAGGCATTTCTCGGAGTTTGAGACCAGTCTGGACAACTTCAGTGACTTCCAGAGCAGCCAAGGCTACACAGAGATCATAAATGCCTATAAATCGGGTACACACACACACATACAGAAAGCAGATTAATGTGGCCTGTGGGCAGGCACCTACACTCATGCATGTGTCTCTACACACATCATTAAATGTTAGTGAGATAGTCCAGACAGTAATGTGTTCGCTAAGCAAACGTGGGACCCAAGTTCTATCCCCACTTTTCATGAAAAGTCAAGCTGTGATGGTAATCCCAGCATGGGAAGGAACACGTGATCCCTTAGGGCTAGGCTAGTAACAGCCTGTCTCCAAACACAGTAGAAAGCAACTGAGTAGGAACAAAACCTAGGGTTGTCCTCCAACCTCCCCAAAGTCCTCTATGAACCTGACCCTGAAGAATTTCTGATGGACCAGGCATGGTAGTGCATACCTTTGATCCCAGCAGTCAAGACGCAGGTAAATCTAGCCAGGGCTACAGAGACATCTCAGAATCTTTTCGGTCATGGGGGATGGAATTCTATAAAGCATCACCTGTTCATGCCTTACCCAGCTAGCACCCCTGGTGGCAGTTTCCTTGACAAGGAGCCCATAGTCCACTTAGGAGCTCACCTTTAGAGATTACTAAAATTCACTAGCCAAAAGAACATTCCTAAAATTCATTTTTATAGCATTTTTTGTTCATTTCTTGTGTAGACTTCAAGTAGTATTTGAAACAAACAAACATGGTCCCTTAGCAAAATGTAATATGGACCTCCCAGAAAAATCAAGCTACTGTATTCCTACACAGTGGCTTAAGTGTCTCCAGTTACAGGGATCCAAGGGCAGCATCCACAAACATGCAAGCAAAACACCCACTCACATAAAATTCAAAACAAAAAAAGGTTTCTCCCAGTGTTTTTGAGACAGGATCTTCCTTGAAATAGTCCTGACTTCCTACAACTGTAGACCAGGGTAGCCTTGAACTCGAGATTGCCTGCCTCTGCCTCCTGATGATAGAAGTCATGAGTCACCAAGCCCAGCTTCTCCATTTTTTTAATACCTTCCAGGCCAATGTCACTGGCTAAATTCCAGCAATGACAGGGTCCTTAAGGCTGTGTTAAGCTTGTGAGGTTACGTATCTTTCAAAAGACTTTGTCCTATATACAAGTGGTTGATAGGGCTAGAATAAAGATCAGGGGCAGAATTTGCCTGAACATGTGCAAGAAAGGTTCTGGGTTCAACCCCCAGTACCACCACAAAAATGTGTAGTGGGAAAGGCTAATTCTTAGCACAAATACTACTCCAGCCTCAGTAATATCAGTGACTGCAGAGTGAAGGAAATAGACAAATTCTCACATCCAATTGGTATAGATTTTTATTATTTATACTTCTTTGAAATTATTACATTCAACATGTTTTCCTTGTTACTTAAAATATAAACCCTGATATAGTTCCTTAGGATAGGCAGCATGCTTCATAGCTAAACAAAACGTTACCAAACCCCAGAATACATTCCAATATTACATATTTCTTATGGAATACCCAATTTTTCATCTTTTATAATTTGTATGTGGACAGCTTTCCTATATTGTGTTCCTAAAACTCTGCTACTGATGTAGTTAAGAGTCACCGAATGAACATTCCTAAACCATCAGAATGTCCTCCAGCACCACTGAGGTCAGTCTGGCTGGCTGGACTTACTACCTTACAGGACACCCGATGTTCTTCCCCGCCCTCTGGAGAAATACTAACCACAGCATCTGGGGTTTTAATAAACCAATTTGCAATGAGGCTTCTCTTACAAGTACATTCCTGGTCTAGTGTAAGGTTTTCAGCATCATAGACAGAAAGCATCTGAGAGAACCAAGAATAACTAACTCGTCTCACAGTGAGTGGAAGTGAATCCCAGCAAAATAGAGCAGAACAAAAAAAGCATTCAAACCACAAAGCTCAAATTGACACCTGAGGGCAGTGGTTCTCAACCTCTAAGCTGCAACCCGAAAACATCACGGTTCCTAACAGTAACAGAATTACAGTTATGAAGTAGCAGCGAAAATAATGTGATGGTTGGGGGTCCCCACAACACGAGGAACTGTATCCAAGGGTAGCAGCATTAGGAAGGTTGAGAACCACTGCTCTAGGGCGTCAGAACTGAATTCAAGATGTCAATTGGAGTCTGGATCTCCTCTCTCACTGGGCTCTGTATACACTGTCTGGAGGCTGGAGGTGTCTGTCCGGCCTTTCTCCAGGGTAAGAGCTGCAACTATTGTGCTGTGCCTCATGCCCACAATGGCTATTCATTCACATCCACAGCCAGTTATTAGGCAAATGTTCAAATACTTTTGTCAATTGAATTTTCTTCCTTCATCTGGGGCTACAAAGTCAAAGGTTTATAAGAAAACAGGACCACATACAAGACCAGGTAGGCTGGGAATGACTCCCACCATTCCTACAGAAAGAGAATGATACAGAATGTTGTACTGTGTCTGCAACTCAGTTCCTGTCAGCAGGTTTCTGGGCTACAGTGGGTCTCAATCTACTGCTGCCACATCTTCAGATCATTCAAATGTTACCAACTGTCATGGTGTGAATATCCTGAGTTTCCCAAATACTGCCATGTAACTCCAACTGCTTTTAATCAAGGAAACCATGGGCCAGATGCAGTAGCTAGGATTCAACCTCTACCTTGACATGTTGTTTCTCTAAGTCTTTTAGGAGGAGTCCAGGCATATATAATGGTTTTTTTCCAACTGGATGAGTGCAAGCCTCATCAAAACAGCGGGGACTCATTAAAAAAAAAAAAGTGATGCCATGAAATTAGGAAATGATAATGTAAGCCGGGAAACTAAAACCACAGTGCACACTAGAACCCCATGTGTGGGTGACCTGTAAGTCACTGGGTGACACCAGCCATAACCAGCAGCCTATGGCTTTCAGGAAGAAACGCTGCCCAATGGCTAAATACTTCAAGTCCTGTGATTTTTTTTTTTTTTTTAAATGAGAGTGTTTTCTTAGCTGTGGCCAAAGATGCCCTCTGCCCAAGAATTATAACAACTGCTTATTAGTTTTAAAATTTACAGTATCAGGTAGGGCCATTAGCAATTTTATTCTAAACTTAGTATGTGTTAACAAAATGCATTTATTTGGAAGGATCCAGTTACCAGTCACCAAAAGCTCTTACATGTTGAAAATGTAATTTTAATAGATAATTCTTCATTTTACATAGGAACACAATGAAATATACCACAGTCTGAAGAAACTCCAGAAGTTCTGCAGTGAGGAAAACGCAGATGGACTACAGTATCCACTGTAGGAGACAGATGCCTGACCATGAGGTCAGCACTCACATGGATGGGACTTGAGTGTAATGAGAACCAGCAAGTCCAGTGGAAAAGGTGAGAAGGACGGCTGCACATGGGAAGAACGGAATAATTCTTTAGTAACTAACCCCAAAGTCAAGGATAAAAGGAGCAGCTGGCCATGGCGGCCTTTATAATCCTAGCAGAGGCAACAGGATCTGCAAGGCGGAGGCCAGCCTGGTCTCCACACTGAGTTCCACGACACCCAAGGTCACACAGAAACACGCACACACCCCCTCCAGAAAAAAAGGAGGAGAGAAGGAATTCTCATGGCCAACCCTAGGGAGGGGAGAGCAATGCACAGGAGCTGGAGAGCTGACAACTTTCCTGTAAGCCAGTTGCTTGGGATTTACAATGTCTGCAAGGAAGACAGACTCAAACGGCCTCCACAAACCTCCACTGGTTTCCTAGCAGCACAAACAACACACATGAGTTTTCAGACAAGAACCAAGAGAAAAGTCATAACCTACATCCGAGGCTCAAATGTGGACATGTGAGAGTCCTCTATGACCCCACCTGTCCTTTTTATTGTGGCTGTCAGGTATGATCAACTTTCAAACATTTGGGCAAGACACCAAGGATCACCTAATTAAATCAAGTAACATTTATTTAAAATTTCTAGGAGGTTAAAAAAAGGGGGATGAGGGGACAGATACTGATGCTTCATGCATGCTCAGCCAGTTTATAAATACTCACTCAGTAAAATCCTAACACAAATCTGCATCAATGAAACAAACTGGTCAAATTCTCCTCTTGCCAATCCATTTGTCAGATGGCGAGGACCAAAACAGAATGTTCCATCGTTTTCATTTTAAATACGATTGTCACATGGGGAAAGCAAAGTAAACACAGTAAAATAAACTGTACAAAGGCAAAGGAGAATAACAAAAAATACTTTACTAAAACATAAGATTTACAGAAGTTTCCAGACAAGCCATACAAAATGGTCACAAGCTTTTGTTTCTTCTTGGGGGGTGGGGCAGAGAATCTACACTCGACAGCAAAGTCACAATGTTATTAGTGAGGGCTGTGATGTTTATTTAATGTTCCCATTTGGTTCAGACAATCAAAGCTTGTCCATCTACAGCGTCTAAAGTTAGACTTGGCTAGAGAGCATATTCTAAAAAACTGGTTAGCTGCATTTAACCACTGCAATTAGATCCCATAAGAGGGGGAGGGGGAAAGGAGACCGTAAAATTAAAATAAAACTACTTTCCCCCTAAAAAATAAAATAAAAACACCCATACCCCTGGCAGCTAACCCTGACAACTACCTTCCTTCACAGTGCTTTGTACTTAAACCATGATGGGGAAGCGAATCCCAGCAGAGCCACTGCTTTCAACATGTCACAACACCCGGATGATACTTCTAGCCTCTGCTCATGCTTTACAACAGTGAATCAGGACAAGACAGAGATTTGCTAATGTGCATGTAATCACCAAAGATGAGGATGCCTGGGCTTTTATTCTGTAATGTTTCTAAGACTGTGTCCATTAAATGCAAACAAAAAAAGGAAGAGTCTTGGCAGAACAGGAGAAGTGATGTACACTCGATGATCTGATCGACTTAAATATTATTCATGGCATATAGCCTAGTCCATGCTCTCGCTGTAGACAGAAACAAATACGCAATTGTTAGTTTACTGAGTCAGTAGATTTCTTTCCAAACACCAAAAACAGCAAACAAACACCATGTGTGGAAATGCTATAATATTTATACCCTCCTAAATTCAGAGCCTCTCCTATAAACTGGATCAGATCATTTTCTGAATGTCTTATTACCAAAACAGGACAACTAATTAGAAAGGGGTTTTGTTTTTTTTCTAAGGTTCTCACTATTTAGACCAGACTAGCTTCAAACCTTTCATAAAATTCTACAAATGGACAAAGTTTTTTCTTTCACTTCAGAATAGGTAATGATATTCCTCTCTAATTTTGTTGTGACCGTAGCAGGAAGATGCTTGCTGATTCTACACTTTACAAACTGCTCTATACAGTAAATGGACCATAAAAACAGTACAAAACAGTTGCAAGTTTTCTAGTCTCTTCCCATACTGCTAGTACAGTAGATACTCATTGTTAGATCCATGTGGTTAAACCCACAGTGCAAGATCTCCTTTTCTAGATTATTTTTAACCTGAGCTCACTTGAAAACAACGACAACAACAAACAAATGGTAACAGACTTGTTTTGAAAAGCAGAAGCAGAAGCAGACAAAGAATAAGTATGCAGTACCTGTTTCTATGGCTTGGGCTTCATTGGTCTTCCACTGCTCGGCTACATCATTTGCTAACGGATCATCTGGATTAGGAGCACTTAACAAAGCCTGGATTGATAGCAGAACTGTGCGGATCTGCAGTGCTGGGGACCACTTATCTATGAAGGTAACAGGCCCAGTATGATATGATAAAGCGTGAAAACACAGGCCCAGACTGAACTTCCCTCCCACACACTGGTGTTAGCATAAGATGAGATTACAATGTTTACATCTAAATATGGAATGCTTAAGAAAGAAAGACACACTCATATAGCACAGGTGACAGACAACACTTACCTTTCAAAATATCTAAACATATTCTTCCCAACTTGTCTACATTAGGATGATAAATTTTGGTCATGAAACGTACTTTAGGTGCTGCCATTGGGTATTCTTCTGGAAGGAATAGTTCAAGTTTAAAAGTCCCTCCCTCAAAGGGGGAATCCTGGGGGCCAGCAATGACCACATGGAAATAACGGGCGTTGCTCTCATCTGGTTCAGCTTTAATGCCAGGAACTGGTTCAGCCAGCAAACGCTGGGTTTCCTACAACAGAAAAACATACACTTGTGAAACACATGTCATCTCACTAAACACCAAAATTAAAATTAGTTATCTTTTTAATTAGATATAACAATCTCCCAATGATACATAATTTAGCCAATCAAATGTAAAAATCAAAGAAAAGAATGTTTATTTTACCTCTAAACCATGCCAAAACATGGCACACATGTGCACAAACACCCCCCAAATAATAACATACTAAATGCTAAAAAGACTGTTAACACTGGGCATAATGGTGCACGTCTTTAATCCCAGCACTAGGGAGGCAGATGGAGATGGATCTCTGTGAGTTTGAGACCAGCCTGGTCTACCGAGTGAGTTCCAGGATAGCCAGGGATGAGATTAAGAAAACTGATTATACATTCATGTAAAAGAAAAGAAAAATGACACCAGGATTGCCACAATGGGTAAGGCAACTTGTTCTAAACTTTACTAAAACCTAAGCCACTAAACTCTACCTTTCTAAAAAATGTGGTCACTTTTCGCATTCAAGGGCGGCTTAGGTCTAGAATACTCAAGGATATCAAAATCTCTGGATGCTGAAGTCTCTTACATAAAATAGTACAGTATTTGTATGTACAGTACAGAAATAATCTTGTGTGTTTCAAACCATCTCTAGATGACTTGTAGTGCCTTCTACAATGTGTATGTCATGTAAGTAGCTAATACAAATTAAGCAACAATGACAACATTCTTTATATGTTCACTAAAGACACACTTTCCTCCCGTGGGGTTTGTCCATCTTCATCTAATGGAACCCTACACACAGAGGGCTAACTATAAGGAAGGACTGGAGATGACAACTGGGTGGTGGCAGAAGCACACCCTCGGATCCCAGTCCTTAGGCCGAGGCAGGCAGGTCTCTTGAGTTCAAGGTCAGCCAGACCTAGAGTACAACCCTATCTCTGGAGGGGGAAACAAGAACATGTCTAGGGCACCTAAAGGAATGGAGGAAGGAAGGCAGAGTGCGTTGGCCCACGATGATAGGCCTAAAACTGACACTCTGTGAATGGCCTTTGATGCCCCACCCCCAAAAAATCATACCACATTCTGTTTTCCATGACTACTGAAACCTCAAAATAGTCATCCTCATGCCTGCTTCCTACTCGACAAGAAGGCAAGCCTCTTCTATGTCTCCATGATGGCTTCTGCACACATGTGCTGCTGCTGGGCTGCTCCTCACTTCCTACTCTAACTGGCAGAGCCCTTGCCCAAGGCCACCCTCTCCACCTGAGAACAGCTCTCTCCTCCCCTCCACAAGAACACTGCGCCAACATCTCAGCATCAGTCCTCTCCTTTCTGAGGAGACAAGGCTGGCTCTCGTACAGCAAGCTTCGCATCTTCTGCACATGACCACTTCCTTCCCTTCCAGCCTCTCTGCCATGGCGTGATAGCGTGGGAAAGGTCCTCATGAGAAGCAAAAAGCCGCCTGACCTTACACTTTCAGCCCCTAAGTGTGAGCTAAAACTCTTCCTTTCAAGTACCCACCTTTAACACGAGTACAATGGGGGGGGGGAATGGACTAACCCAGCAACCCCAACTCAACTTTCTGATCTTTCCCACCCCCAAAGTTTCCTGTCTGTTAATCCATCTCTTCCTGTAGGCTAAATATCTAACCTGATGTTTAAAAAAAAAACTGTTTGAAAAACTCCCACTGGGGCAATGCTCAGGGGCAAGATTGTGTGTGTGTGTGTGTGTGTGTGTGTGTGTGTGTGTGGCCGGCCCTTGGTTGGCTCCCCAAGTCTGCCCATGACTACTGCTTCTCCCCGCTCCTGCACCCTGCCCAGGCCCCCACCAGCTCTCAAATGGCAGACTAAAATAACCTCACATGCTCTCCCCGGCTTGACCTCGACCTTGCTATCTTTACTCCCGGGTCCACCTTCCGTGTGGACTGCTGCACTCTGCTGCCTTTCCAGTTCCCCTTCAGCTCTCCTCCACACCAACCTCTGTTCAATCCTCGTTCACTTCCTTACAGTCTTTCAACCTACTAGGCATACTTCCACTTCAGAGACTCCACCTGCTCCCTTCCCCGGGAACACTCAACTAGGAAAAACAAGACAAGAGCCTGGCCTTTATTTTAAGGGGGGAAAAAGAACTAGTAAAGATGAGTATTAGGAGCAAGGAAATGAAAGGGAACTAGGTGGTAACATGTCTTCTAGTTGGGCCTTTCCTCCACTTGGGTTTATCCCATTTCCATGAAAAGGGAAGCTGGAGGAGGAGGACAGGGTCGAAAAATCTAAGTCACCACTCTCCAATTATACATAGTAGCAGCTATTTAAAGCTCTAACAAGCTACCAAAAGTCCCTCCAACATCAGAACCTAAAATAGCTCCTAAATACTCCTCATCTTCGCCAGATGCCACAGTCACACATCTGCCATCAGTTTACCTACCCTTAGTTAGGCACCCTTCCCCAAGAATGCATAAGTGGGGTCTGCAGTGTATGCCTGCAGTCTTGGCACTTGGGCGGCTAAGGTAGCTTTGCATTCAAGGCTGGCCTGGGCTGTGTACTGAGTTCCAGGCCAGCTACACAGCAAGACTCTGTCTCAAAAACAAAAAGTACATACTAGTGACCTAATCAATCACAAGATTTCATTAGAACATACACTGTGGGTAAGTTTTCAGATGCACAAACCATCCCTTCTCAGGTCGTCCTGAATTTCCCAAAGTCAGCATAAATGTCCGACTAAAGCAAGGCTCTGACACCAGTGCCTGAGACTCTTTACCACAGAAGAACACATGGTCAACTGTCCCGGACCTTCAGGGTTATGGTGGTTCTTTACCAGAAAGACAGTGAGGTGCCGTCTGGTCTCTGCACTTGTTCACTGTCTCTGAGCCTCACCTCTGTACTCATGCAGCTGTGGTGCTCTCCCCTCCCACTCAATCTGTATTCCCACAGCTGCAATTATCCTCGGTCACCTCAATCAAAAACGGTTAGGTGATGGGCCAGCGAGATGGCCAGCAGGTAAAGCTTGCCACACAACCATGACAGCCAGAGTTCTGTCACTGAAGCCCTCTGACCTCTACACGGGCACCATGGTGCAGGAGTGCCCCCCCACCCCCTTCACACTCACATAAAACAATTAAGAATAATTCCTAAAATAGTAAATGGAAATGTTCCTAAGTAAAAGACTGATTTATAAGGTTGTTTGTCTATTGTTGGTCTTTTTGTTTTGTTTTGGTTTTTAGACAGGGTCTTGACAACTCAGGATGACCTGGTACTCACTATATAGACCCGGCTGGCCTCAAACGGCCTCAAACTCGAGAGACTGACCTGCTTCTACCACCAGAATGCTAGAATCAAAGGCACACTGCCACCACTCCTGGCTTTGATTTCTGAATTTAAACTGTGCTCTCTTCTATCCCTTTAACAGTGGTTCTCAACCTGGGAGTAGCAACAATGGAAACCTCTATCTCCAAAAACATTTCATGATTCATAACAGTCACAAATGACAGTTATGAAATAGCAACAAAACTAACTTTGTGGTTGGGGTCACCACACATGAGGAACTGGATTAAAGGGTCTCAGTATTAGGAAGGGTGAGCTTAGCACGATGATCTTTTTCACCTAGCAATAGCCAGCACTTGGAAGCAGAGGCAAGACAACTTCAAGTCCCAGGTCATCCTTGGCTCTCTGAGACCTTGCCCCAGCATGGGGGTGTAGGAATGGGGAAAGCATTGACAGTCCAAGTTCTTGATTTCAGTAATTTCTTAGAGGTGTGGAAATTGCTCAAATGAATTTTCTGTAGAGCACACCTTTAATCCCAGCACCAAAGACAGTGGCAGGCACATCATTGTGAGTTCTAGGCCAGCCAAAGCTACATAGTGAGATTGTTAAAAAAAAAAATTAACTTAATCTAAATTATGAAAAAGGAAATTTGCCAAGTTTCTTGTCATACTTCAAATCATAAGAGGAAAAGTTGCAATATTTAAGATGCACATATGAAATTTACACATGTATGTGTACAAAATACTGTGGTATTTTATACTGAAATACATAACAATACTGAGGTACATAGCAACCCAACACACACAAACTTATTTTTAAAAATAGTATTTTTATTTTGTTTCATTTTGAGACAGGGTCTTTCTTATGTAGCCCAAGCTGGCCTCTAATTTACAAAAATCAACCTGCTTTGGGATTAAAACTGGTGTACAATGTTAAAAACATGTTTACTTTGAAAGTCAAAGAGACAATCTGTGGAGGTTGATTCTTTCCTTCCACCATGTGGGTCCCAAGGACAAAACTCAGGTATCAGTCAAGTGCCTCTACCAGCTAAGTACACACACACACACACACACACACACACCACACACATAAACACAGTGTTCTTAGAACAGTAATTTATGAGAAAAATTAACTTCTAGTATTTTCACCCAATTATACTCAAAATACTATCAACATGCTGTTAGTATAAAATGACTAACAGAATAGTTTAGCTCTCTTTTCATACCAGGCCTTCCAGGTTGTAATTTACACTAAGCACATATATCAAGTCAAACTAGCCACTTCTCAATTGTTCCTTAGCCACAAGATGTTATCTATCACCTAGAGTAAAAATTTAAATAAATAAATAAATGTCTTTTTTTGGGGGGGGGTGTTGAGAAAGGGTTTCTCTGTGTAGTTTTGGTGCCTGTCCTGGATCTTGCTCTGTAAACCAGGGTAGCCTCGAACTCAGAGATCCACCTGGCTCTGTCCCCCAAGTGCTGGTATTATTAAAGGCATGCTCCACCACTGCCCGGCCCAAGGTAATCTTACTACTGACATGTCATTAAGGAAAATCAACTTGGGGCTGGAGAGGTGGCTCAGTGGTTAAGAGCACTGGCTGCTCTTCCAGAGAACCTAGGTTCAATTCCCAGCACCCGCGTGGCAGCTCACAACTGTCTGTAACTCCAGTTCCAGGGGATCTGGCATCTTCACACCAATGCACATTAAAAAAAAAATAAATAAATAAAATGTAAGGGGGTAATTTTGTAGAGAAAC